AGTCCCTGTGTCTGGCTGCGTGAGCTACATGGTCCTTTAGAACCCTGGGATTATTCTACTAGATTAGTGGGAGTCATTTCCCGACCTCGTGAGATGCAAACTTACAGCTCAAGCCAGAGCGCGCGCTCTCTCCCTCTCTCTCTCTCTCTCTCTCTCTCTCTTTCTCTCTCTCTCTCTCTCTCTCTCTCTCTCTTCTCTCTCTCTTTCTCTCTTCTCTCTTTCTCTCTTCTCTCTCCCTTTCTCTCTCTTTCTTCTCTCTCCCTCTCTCTCTCTCTTTCTCTCTTCTCTCTCCCTCCCTCTCTCTCTTTCTTCTCTCTCCCTCTCCCTCTCTCTTTCCCTCTTCTCTCTCCCTCCCTCTCTCTCTTTCTCTCTCCCTTTCTCTTTCTTCTCTCTCCCTCTCTCTCTCTCTCTCTCTCTTTCTCTCTTCTCTCTCTCTTTCTCTCTTCTCTCTCCCTTTCTCTCTCTTTCTTCTCCCTCCCTCTCTCTCTTTCTCTCTCCCCTATGTGTGTGGTAGTGGGGGGAAGAAGGCTACTAACACTTTGGGGGGTTAAAGAGCATGCATTTGGGAGACAAAGCCCAAGGCTGGAATGCCCCCGTACACTTCCTGTTTTGTATTTTTTTATTTTTAATTGTGTGTATACATGTGTGTCTCTGTGGGGGTGTTTTTATAGGAGTACAGCTGTCCTTGCAGGTCAGAAGGTGTCGGAAGCTGGGGCTACAGATGGTTGTGAGCTGACTGAAGGGGGTGCTGGGAACTCCGGTCCTCTGCTTGGGCAGTGTGTGTTCTTAACCACTGAGCCATCTCTTTAGCTTCCCCAGTCTGTACTTCTTATTATTAGTTACATGGTGTGGATAAGTAAATTAACCTATCCAAACCTTTGTTTTTCTTTCTATAAGATGGAAAAGATAGTACCGAGTTTCTAGGTTATCTTGGGTCCGTGTAGAATACGTGAACTGAGCGGTGCAGTCATGATGTTTGGTTTTCATCTCGGTGTCCAATAACAAGACCTCTAAGAGCCTTGGAATCTTCAAAATGGTGGATTTTTCTCAATAACAGCAAGTGGTCTGAAGACTGAAGTCCCTAGGGAGCTTCATGGGGGCTTGTCACTGGAAGAACTAAGGCAGGACTTGAGAGCTAGTGGGGACTAGGAGGACAGACAGACGGACGTCAGTTTGTTACTCACACCTAACAACTTCATCAGCTATGTCCATGCAATGAAATCTCCATGAAAATGTCAGAGTTGAGTCCAGGGAGCTTGCATGCTGAAGACATATGGGTTCCTGGAGTGTGCTCAGCAGCATCCAGGCCTTGTCCTGTGACTCTCTTTATCTGCAGTCTTTAGACTGAATAGGTTAATACATGAATTTCTCCAAGGCCCATAGGTCAGTCTGGAAGGGGGCTGTGGGCATCAGGATTCCCAACCACTGGGCCAGAAGTCCAGCTGAATCAGCCTGGGTTTACAGTCGGGCCCTCACCCTCTGTATCTGACCCTATCTCCAAGTAAACTGGGTTGGAACAGAACGCTAGCGCCAACACAGTCAATGCTGAGAGGTGGGTGCTGCGAGTGACCCTACTTTATAGATCTGGAGACCGGAGTGTTAGTTCAGATAAGGAAGTGGGGGAGGGTCTTGAGGGGCAAATGGCAGGGCCATGGCCATTCCTGGTGGTAGGGGTGTCATTAGGGCTTTTCTGCAGAACTGAGGCCAGAGGAAGGTCTTTGTTTGTTCTAACTTTCTTCTTCCACCAAGCCCTTGGCTCCCTCAAGTCAGTGAAATGGAGACAAGTCAGTGTCCTGGTGTGGGTAATGAGACAGTCACCAAAGACTGGGACATCCACACAGTAAAGGCTGGGAGCCAGTTTCCTGCCATTTCACAGCGTCTTAACTGAGACAGCACCACCTGCTGGCTGCTCTCTGGCAGGCCAGCTCCAGCCCAGGAAGGAAAGCAGGCATGAGAAAGGAAAGGAACTCAGGCCCCCCTCCCCCAGGAGTGCTTTGCAAACACTAGAAATGAAATGAGATTGTGCACCAAGATAGAACTCCGCTGCCAAGGGGCACAGCTGAGTACGCACCTCATGACAGATATTACTAAAGACTCCATTTTACTCAGGAACTTCCTTGGCAGGACTCAGCGCTTGACCCTATTGCCTTCCAAGCACTTTTAGGGACTAGGCTCTAAAATGAGACGAGCCTGGCCTCCATTGGCGTTCCTTTATACTCTGAGTCACCTTGAACAAATCACTTGACCTCTGAGCCTCTCAGGCTCACTTCTCTCATTTGCAAGAGAAGTGTCTGGTTTGTGCACGGCCAAAGGCTTGTACATCCAAAGGCTCACACACCCACAGGCTTGTACACCCGCAGGCTTGCACACTCACAGGCTCGCACACCCACAGGCTCGCACACCCACAGGCTAGCGCTACATCCTTTGGAAGCACAGGAAGGAAGGAATGTGGCACACCTTTGATCGGAGGGTGGCTCTGACTTCCTCACTGACCTCATTACTGCTGCAGAGGGACAACCAGGAAGTCAAAGCAGTGATCCTGGGACTTCCACTTTAAACAGTGTGTGTGGATGGGGAGGTTAGTTTGAAAGTCAAAAAATGTTCAATCGTATAATATAGATTGATGTTTAGAAAATAAAAAAAAAACATTATTTTTATACACAGGAAAAAGTGAACTTTAATATATCCCTAATTAAAGTAAAGATCAGCTCTCCCACCTGCCTCAGGCATTGATGGGCAAGGGAAGGGGCATCTTTCTGCCACCCGTGCCGCCATATGACAGATGAGTGATGGGGACAGCTCTTCCATGCTCACAACTTCGGGGCCAGCTCATCCACATCTCCACCAACAGGATGGCTTGATTCTATCGGGTTGCCCTGGCGATGCTCAGGGCTGGCTCCTCCAAGTGCTGCAGCTAGTGGGAGACAGTGGTAGCTCTCTTGCTCTTATGACCTTGGGGCCAGCTCACTCACCTGCCTCGGGTGTTCACGGTGTGTGTGTCAGGAGACTTCTATGTGTGAACTAAATGAAGATCAACCATTTCTCACCAGTCCCGTTATTCCTCGGTAGAAGCTTGTTGCACAATTTACATTCAGAGTTCTTAGTGCCTCCCACTGAGACAGGAGAAGCATCAATCTTAGATAATTTTATTTGCCGATATTTATAGAAGAAACAATTGAACAAAGAAAAAACCCCACAGGTTGACAAAACAATTCTGATCCATGCATATGTCCCTTTCTGCCCCCCTAACCTTGTACTATGGAATCAGAGAACTACAGAGACACGTGTGTAGAGGGTGGTGAGCCCATAGCTAGGTGGGGGAGGGGGTAACTGTTCACAGCCACATTGGAAACCACGTAAGTTTCCCATAAGCCAGATAGCAAGGCATCCTTGACTGTGTCCACACCCAGGCCTGTTCTTTACCAGTGGCCATGACCACTATTTGCAGACGCCAAATCTTAGAGGCACATTTGTTGCGATGAAGTCAATGAGCAGTGCAGTGGCCAATGAAAAGACGACAGTCCCTTCCATTAGGGGACTCTATCTAGTAGAGGCAGGAGGTACACAAATAGCTACAAATCTGTGCGAGCAGTGGGTAGGAAGCCTGGTTCCACTGCATTCCTCCTGAACTCCAGAAGGGAAGAGATTCTCCTTTCACTGGATGATCCAGATGATCCGCAGCTCTGGGGGCGGGGTCTGCTGAGCTGAGAGCTGCTCTACCCAGGTCTCCATGGAGACACCTCAGTCCTCAGTCAGCCTCTTCCCGTGTCCCTTGGGAGACGTCTTCTGGTGGAAGCTGAAGAGAAGAAGGATGGTGAGACCAACATGGAAAACCATGGTTGCTTTGAAAGTCATCTGTGAGGGGCACTTGGTGAAAAGATGGCAGAAAGAGTGAGCAGTGACGGCCGTAGACTGATCCTAGAAGAAGGAAAATATAGGAGGAAAAGGGGAGAGCATCAGAAGCCATCCTGAGGAGGGACCACACCCTTCCCTGGGTCCTCTTTTTTAGGCCCCTTGTCCACCAGCAGAAGGAAGACCTCTCACTGTTCAGAAAAAAAGCCTCCAGCCCCAGCCCATGATTCCAGGAATCTTCCCAAACCTTTTCCTTATCAGCCACCCCCATGTGTTGTTCAGTTTCGTCATGCTAGCAATGACGATGAGCCAAGGGACTCCCGCTACCTATGGCAGACACCTCAGACTGCCACCAGTATCTGCCAGTGATGGCCCCTAAGCCTCAAGTTACTCAGGCACCTGTGTCTGGTCAGCAGTCATGGGTCACAGGACATATGCCCTTATGGGTCATCTAGCTGAAGCTCTCACGTTGTAGCTGATGGGAATGAGCCCTGGGCACCCTCTAAACATTTCCTGTCATGCTCATTTATTGTGGTTAGCTCAAAGAACAAAGGTGGTAGCTACCAAGACTCCAACATGTAGGAAGACCAAGGAAGACACTGGGATAAGAAAGGCCTGTTCAGGATCATGTATCAACATGACTGTAGCTCAAAGCATAACTGAGGATACAGCTGAGGATCCTGGAGCTAACAGGGTCTTCTCACCAGTCAGAGGATGGAGATGTTTCCCTCACAGCTGGGCACACTCCCACAAACCTGTAGAGAAAATCCTCAGTAAGCTTTCACCTGAGATCTGGCAGGAGCCAGCTAAGCTGACGATGGAGAGCCGGCTGGGGTGCAGGATACTATGTGAGTGTGTGAATTACTCCCCCACCCCCACCCTAGCTCATTCTCTGGGCTATTGACTGAGCTCCTGGAAGGCCACCTTCCCTGCCTCCAGGAGGCGCTAAGAAGCAGCAAAGGTCTGACCTCATGACCCCAGGGAAGGGCCAGCTCTGAGACAAGCTATGCCAGCACAGAGATGTCCATCTCCCAAGCTGTCACTCAGCCCAGCAGCGACCTGCTTCCTCCCGAACCTCCACAGGGACATCACATAACTTCCCAGCCAGAACACACTGGACTCTAGCCCACCAGTTGAAGAGCATGGTACCATGTCAATAAACACGCTGGAAGACCCTGATTTAGGTTCTTGCAGAAGGAAAACCTTGAGAGGGAGAAGGGAACTGTGTCCATTCTTGGGGTCTTCTTTCTCCAGGCTCGTCTCCTCCTGGAACTTCAGACACCCTTTTGGGAAGGACAGGTGATTTAGTTATTTTCCTCAAGGAAAAACTAAAACAAAAGAAAAATGATAGCAGCCAAACATTAGCTTAGTATAATTATGCTATACCAGATACATTATGACTCTAAAATCATTTTAAACAATACATAATTGTGGTGATAATTTGTTTGTGATCTCACAAATAAAGCTTTCCTGAAGATCAGAGTGCGCAGCTAGCCGCTAGTTAGCCATAGAGGCCAGGCAATGGTGGCACACACCTTGAATCCCAGCACTCGGGAGGCAGAGGCAGGGGGTCTCTGTGAATTCAAGGCCACCCTGGGCTACATGAGATTGATTCAGTCTCAAAGATAAACACAGCCAGGTGGTGGTGGCTCACCCCTTTAATCCCAGTATCTGGGAGTCACATGCCCTTAATCCCAGCACTATGGAGGTGGAGACGGGAAGGAATATGGCTGGGCAGAATGAGGAATATAAGGCAGGCGGAGACATCTCAAGGCATTCAATCTGAGGATTCATGGAGAAAGGATCTTGATCCCTTCAGTCTGAGGATTCAGTAGAGTTAAAAAGTCTCTCTAGTGGCTGACTCCTTTACTTCTCTGATCTTTCAGCATGTACCCCAATATCTGACTCTGGGTTTTTATTATTAAAGCCAATCAGAGTACACATAACCGTGTGCAGTTTAAGCTCCTGCAGCCTCTGCCTTACAGATAAGGAAACTGAGGTTCTGGAATTTTAGATGCTGTCCAAAGGCACACAACTAATAAATGGCCAAACTGGGTTTGGGTAGTCTGGTTTCAGAGACTAGGATCCTTCCGACATTTCATCCTTCCTTCTAGAACACAGGCAACAAGACCTGTAAGAGGCTCACAAGAAAGAGGCCCCTCGCTTTCACATTGCCACACATGAGTTACGATCTGATTCATCCACGTGATCCTGTAGACCCTCGGGGTTTCCCAGCCAGGCTCCTCCCCCACTGACGTGTAAAGATGCCTTTGCTGTCAGATGACCTTTGCCATGTATTATCTTTTAGATTGTTCATTTTCCAGTTAATCTAGAATCCCATTGATATCGGGCGGGAGGTACCCACTTCCATGCAGGTGCAGAGATGAAGAGTGAGGAGCCCAAGGTAGGGAGATGCTACCTCCCCAGCATCTCTTTGTCCAGGGACCAGCACCAAGCTCCGACATCCAGCTGAAGGAAAGCACCTGCGGTGATACCTGGAATGACATGCGGACCTGCCTGATAGAGCTCCAGACAGGAGCAGGGGGATACCTGGAATGACATGCGGACCTGCCTGATAGAGCTCCAGACAGGAGCAGGGGGAGGATTTTTTTTTTTTTTTTTTTTTACCTTGCAAGCAATTCCGTGGCATCAGGGAATCAGCAGCACTAGCACACGGTCGCCATCTGCTGAGCGTGAAGGGGAAGTTCAGTGAGACGACATGCTACTGACAGGGCTAGCCAGGGGAGCCCAACTGCCACTCTGCCTGTTTCTATGGGCCTTCTGTTCCCATGGTGTCTACCTGTTTGCAGGCAGATGGCCACTAGCTTGGAAAAGAAGGGGAGAAACTTCTGGGTGATCGCAAAAGGACTTTTGAACATGCCAAGCCTAACCTTGATCGTGGAAGGATTTTTGTTGTTGTTGTTGAAAACTTAGATTGTTAGCCAGGCCTGTAATCCAAGCTCATAGGGAGACTGAATCAGGAAGATTACTAGTTCAAGACTGACTTGGGAGAGTTAGTAAAAGACTCTGTCTAAAAAATAAAAATGAATAAAAATGGAAAGAGCTAATGTGGCAGAGGCCATGTGCCGTGTCCTAGGTTATTCAGTCCCCAACCATGAAAAAGGCTAATAAAAGTAAAGAGGGAAGAAAGGAAGAGAAAAGCAAAGGGGCTTCTCGGTTGCCGCACACAGGGTGGAGGCTGAGACCTGGGCTGGATCTGCTACCCCGGGACCTGTTTTTCTCACACTGGGGCCCTGCCCAGGTCCCATGACCCCACACTCATTTTCCATCCAGTGGCTTATCTGGCCTCAGATTGAACTTTGCAACCCTCTGCTTCCACTTGAAATAGAATAATAGCAATAATGATGTGATTTAGTTAGTGGGTATTGTAGCTCTCCATTTATACATACAAACTGCACCCCAACCCCACTTTCAGGAAAGTTCCATGTCACATGACAAGGAACTGGCAAAACTGACATCCAAACTGGTAAAGTCCAGGGGAGCCTTTCACGGCCCCCAGTTCAGAAGGCTCCAGGGACCCCAGCTCACGCCGGCCGCTCACAGTGGTTCTTCAGGCACGTGTTTTTCTCCGTAACTTCCAGCCATGTGCTCAGTCCCAGCCTCAGCCCCAGCCCCCTGTCGTTAAGAGGCGAGCAGAAGGAACTGTGGTCAGCCAGGAGCCAGGCAGTCATGAACCTGAAGGAGGGGGCAAAGTTGAGGATCACGTCACAAAGTTTGATCAGGACACTGAAACTCATGGCTTTGAAGACTGATACGGAGTGACACTGTGAGAACACTCCACTGTGTCCAAGATCACGTGTGTGTGTGCGCGTGCGAGTGCGTGCGTGCGTGCGTGCATGCGTGTGTGTGTGTGTGTGTGTGAGTGTGTGAAACTGGAGACCACAACTATGAACCCCTCGGGGTATCCACAATGTATGATGTCCTGCTGGGTATCAAGGGATCAAGGGGCTGGGCTGAACTTAAGTTTGCACCTCCATCCTTCCTATACACAAGGAGCTCAAAGTCTAGTTGAGGATGGAAGATGCACTCCAACCTCCAAGGTTGGTGCCTAGAGAACAGGAGTTGTTCTATAGGTCAGAGGCAGACTGAAGATGGACAAACGCCAACAAAGCAGAGGAGATACTGCTTTAAGAATACAGCACCCAAATGCTCTGAGCTCCAGGGGAGCTTTAGGTGGATGGAGATCCCTGACCAGGGATGCAGGCCCCCACCAGAATCAAAGGAAAAGAGGTGGTTCAGGAAGGAGCTGGAGTCTGGTTAAGGAACATGGCTTCTGCCATTGAATGATTTACTATTTATTTATGATAAATGGCAATATTGTATTGGTTCGCTCAATGGTTGTCCATATGAGCACCGTTTTGAGTACCAAGTCACACTGGCAGAACACCTGCCTTCCAGGGTCATGGAAGCCAAGGGAGCTACTGAGGATTCTGTGCAAGAAGCTGGCATGGGTGAGAGGGGGAGTGGCCAAGGTTTAGAGTGGCAGCAGACAGAGTGGCTGGCTCTCCCAATAAAATGACAAGTTCTCTAGGGCATACTTTGTGTCCTGTGAGGTATATGTGTGCCCCACCCAGTACCAGTTACTCTACAGAGCCTACCTTTATTTAAAGAGATTTGCTAAGTCATGGGCCCCGCCTTTTAACTTGGCCTTTTGGGAGGGAGACAGAAATAAGTCACAGATCAGGAGAAAAACCGGAGCCCAGAGGTGGCTCCTCCACAGGTTCTGGAAGTGGCAGAAGGAGGGACAACTATGGCCCTTCAACCTCAGCCAAGTTGCCAGCCACCCACGAAGGTAGTGTAAGATCTTTTGGTGTTTGGAGTGGGTCACTCTGCCATTTTGGCAGACAGTAAACAAATAAGGAAGGAGCAGGCAGGCCTGGCACCATCTGGACGATTCACTGGTTCCTCTAGAGGCTATGGATAAGTAGTCAGAACACCTAGCTCTGGATGGGGTAGGGGTACAGGCTCTACAGCCACAGCACCTCGCTTTGCATCCTGCCCCTGCTCCCTGACATCTGTAATGTGCTTGACCCCTCTGCAGCTTCAATGCCTCCACCGGCAGCGTGACAAGGACCTCTGAGCCCAGTGCAGTTTATTTCTTGTGACTAGCACAAACTGTTACCACCTTTCATGAAAAGCTTTTTCTGACACTCCAGGCCCTTGCCCAGGGGCAGGTGTTGCCCCTCCTATGTGCTTCCAGCTTGTGCCTTTAACTGTTTCCCCTGACTCATAATTACCTAAATCAACTGACATCCCTGCCTTAGTCCCCACTGGGAGCCTCCTGGGGTACGTGCTGTGACTGTCACAGCATAAGCTCCTTGCGAACCTGTGGAATAGTGGTTCCCAAAGATCTGAGGAAAGGCCCATTTGTGGGCTTAGAGAGCTGGACAGAGGTTCGCAGCAACAGGCAGAAATGGTAGTGGCTGTGTGGTCTGGAGCCATGGTGAATTCACACGTCTGTCTAGCCACCAGATCTTAAGCCTACTTCTGGTTAAGATGACTCACCAAGGTTGATCACAGGGGTAGAACGGTCACAGATGAAAAGGAACTCTTAGGCATTACGGTGACTCTTCGAGGGTCTTCTGACTTATCCCTTAGGTGCCCCAAAAAGGACCTACACCTATCAGAATACATGACCTGGAAAGAACAGTGGGCCCAAGTTGTAGGCAAGAGATCCTGCCAGTTCTAAGGGTCCCCCTGGGACTAAAAACCACAGGGCTTACTGCTGCCTGGAGAAGCTGAGAGCTAGGAAGGTTTTTTGATTCTTTGGGAGTGACATAGGTACCAGAAGCCAGGAGTGTCCCTGAATCCAGAGAAGCAGAGAGGGACAATGGCTGTCTGGATGGCAGTTCCACCACCCCCAGCCCTCCCTTAGCTGGCTCCAAAGCAAGCTCAGCCCCACCTCTTAACCTCAGAATGTCAGGTAGGCCGAGTGAACAAATGAACATTCTCATTGCCCAGCACTATCTCCTACCTCTGTTGTCTGAGGCCTGGACTTGTGTATTCCACAGCTTTCCAGGGTATGCCAAGGCAGCACCTGTAAGTAGAAGCAGGGTTTGTATCTTGTCTAAACCCTTGATGCCTGCACTTCCTGCCTCCTTCCTTGAGTCTATGACTCTCCTCCCCACCTCCTTGACATGGCCACTGGTTTCTGGACTTGCTTTGGGATATTGGACATGCACCGTCCATACACTGCAAAGCATGTTATTGGCCACATTGGTCCTTGTGTCCACCCTTGGTTGCTCTATTTGAAATTTGCAGTCTATGGCAGTGGCTTCGAGATGACAGGATTCAAGGGACAGGGTTAGAGATAAGTGCGTCAAGTAAGGGGTGGAGGTCAGGGCCACGCAGGCACAGAGGAGCCCCCTCTTCTGTTTTTCTCTCGTCTCATACTTTAAGGCTGGCTCCGATGGAGCATCCCTGACTCCTTCCACCTCCCACAGAACCCTCTGGTCCTTCGCTGTTTACTTACTCCTAAAGAGGCTGCTCTTGGCTCCTCGGTGAGCGAGCGCCACCAGGATTGTTGTTCCAGCTGTGAAGGCTGACAGGAGTCCGGCTGAAGCATCCTCTGGCCCCACCTCACCTGGAAGCTCTCTGACCCTGTGCTCTGGTCTGCTGGTGAGTCCTATCCCCTCACACACTCTCAGGCATGCACACATACACATACATTCACACGCCCACACGCATTCACACACTCACATGCAGGCCCACAGATGTGAGCCTGTTCCACCTTGACTGGAGGTCAGAGAGTTTGAGCTTATGTTTGCTCTTTCAAAGCTGTTGACGTCAGGTGTGGTTGCTTGGTGTTTTGGACACCAAGATGGCCCATAGAGGTGGATCTGCTCCACTCTGACCAAAGGTCAGAGAATTCAAGCCTATTCTTTGCTCCTTCTTTTAAAATAGGAGGATTTGATATTGTGAGTGGCTGCCTACAGGATACTTGGTCTAAGGTGTGTTCACTGCATATTCCTGCCGCTAAATGCTTTACTCAGGAAATAATGGCTTGATGTCTCAAGTACTGAAGCAAGCAACTGTTCTGGTTGTCCTTTGTGTCATGGTAAAGCTGTCTTTTGCTTTCTTCCCCCACTTCTGTATAGGGGTATAAAAGTGTATGAAAATTAAACACAGGCGAATTCAATATTCACTATTCACCGAGTTGCCCTCCCAGTACTATCCTATGTCTCTGTATTTCTTTCACATCCGTGTTCCTCCTACCTAACATTCCTAATCTACACACCCTACCCTGGAACGTAAGAACTTGTCATGGCTGAACGGTGGCAAAAGTTACTCCATCTGTGGACACAAAGCCATCTGTGTCCACTCTTACTATTCACCCTGCTTTTCTTAAAGTCAAAGAGAATAAGAGGCACCAGAGGAACAGGGGACAGGGGTCAGGAGGACCTCAGGATAGACAGCACCACAGGAGGCGGACAGTCTTCTACCGTCCCGGTGTGGACTGTCTCAGAACATCATCTCTTGCAAAGGTGCTCTTACCATGTAGGCATCAACTCAAGACTGACCTGGGCTACATGACAAGATCTTGTCTCAAAATATAATAAAATATAAATAAATAAACCATCAAAGTAAAATCAGTGGCACTACCTAGAAGCTGTGTGCATGGGCCTCTCCAGCGCCCTGTGGCCTGTCTGACCCTGCGTAAATCCTGGCTTCCTGTCCCAGTGTTGAGTCTGTTTCTTCCCTGCCCCTTTCTCACAGAGATGAAGGATCAGGCCTCTGTCTGTCTTAACCTGTGGAATCCTTATCTCTCCTTCACTTCCCTGTGTAGCAATGACCTGCAGGAAAGTTGTAGTCACTGCAAACTCCGAATCTCCTCTTCCTCCCACGACTTCCCCTAATCCGCACCTACAGAGCAGAGATTTAAATGGCTGTCCATAGACCTCTCCTACACACATTCACCCATTTCAAAGACAAAGGACAGCACCCCAGTTTAGGAGCCAATGCAGTCTGTGAACACTTGCATCTGGCGTTACAGTAACCCCGGGGCATCTTCTCCTACCAGGCTCTTTACGAAATAGTACCTCAGTTTCCTCTTTTGACAGACTGTGCACTGTAGCCCTGTAAAGACACCAAGGACCACGGCTAGGAACTCTCCAGTTTCTACACCTGGGGCCAGGACAATGGCACGATCTCAGGATGTGGAAAAAAACAGTGACTGCCTGGAACCATGCCGGGCTGCACCTGCCGGGCTGCACACTCCTGTGGGTACACACTGCGTTTGCAGTCACCCCTGTGTGCCCTTGACACTGCCTGCACAGATTCTCAGCTGGTCTCCAACCAGAACACAAGTCCTTGTACCCGTCACCATCCTATCATGTGCCACTGCCTACCCCGAAGAATCACATTTGAAGGCTCCAAAAGTGTCTGCAGGTGGCCCTTGCTCCAGAGCCTCCCGGCCTGAGACCTGTGTACTGCTCTGCGCATGGGCCAGTCTCATCCTCTCGTGCCCTGACACTCACTACCTGCTTCTCCATGTCTGACAACTCACATCCTGCTTCGTGTTAACCCAAGTCCCTTGTCCATCTGCAACAAAACCTCCCACTGCTTCTGCTCTTGTTCACACCCATGACAAGCATTGTCAGTACCATGCAAAGTCTAATCCTAGAGACAGGCTGTGAATTCCCTGTGGGGACTGGATCACTGGCTACCCTGAATAGCCTGATGCAAGCATCCTAGGACCAAATCCTGGAGATAATGCTCTTGGAAGGTAAAACTCTGCCATCTGAAGGCTGGGTGCCATCCGCTGCCAGCCCTGGGTCTTCACACTCCCAATCCTTACAATTGCCATGGCAGTCTTGGGAGACCGCCATGCAGGACCTGAAATCCTGAGAAGTCACATTACTCTAGGGATAGCAGGTCAGTGCAAGAGAATTGGGCTAGATGTCTCCCAGGAAGTCCAGTGCTCACTGAGCCCCCCCCCATTAAGTGCTCCCATCGGCTTATGGGCCATCCACACTAGGGAGAGGTGTGTCTACTGGCATTCCACGCTGAGGAGGAAGTGTGATTAAATGCTGCCCAAGATCTCTGTCCACCCCAAACAAAACAGTAGAAAGACCCTCATGCTTTGCCCCCAGCCCTGCTTAGCCCACCTGCTCTCAGAACAGCTACTGCAGCCCGTGGGGAGATCCTTGGTCATCTGTCTTACCGCTGAGTGGCTTAAGTCATCCCTGGGGTCCCCAGGTAAGACATGGTTCTTCCCTGAGGCAGAGAACGAGAAACTGTACCTACAATAAGCTTTCACTAATGAGGGAAGCGAAGCACAGAAAGGTTAGGGAACTTGCCCAACATCACACAGTTTGTGAGGCTGAGATTTAGGTCCAGACAGTCTGGAGGTCAGAGATACACACTTGGTAAGTGGGATGCACTGTGCTCACTGGGTCAGGGACTGTCCTTCAGGGTGGAGAGTAATCAACCTTGATGCACATTCAAAATAGTCCTTTTTCTGTTGGATCTGACAATCATCCAGTGCAAGCATCCATAAAGCCCTTCCTTTTCCCCCTTCCTCTCCCTCCTCCTGCTCCTCCTCCCCCTTCCTCCTCATCTTTCTCCCTCTTCTTCTCCCCTCCTCCTGCTCCTCCTCCCCCTACTCCTCCCACTTCTCTCCCTCCTTCCCTTCCTCCTCATCTTTCTCCCTCTTCTTCTCCCCTCCTCCTGCTCCTCCTCCCCCTACTCCTCCCACTTCTCTCCCTCCTTCCCTTCCTCCTCCATCCTCCTCCCTCTTCTTCTCCCCTTCTCCCCTCTTCCATCCTCCTCCCTCCTATTCCCTCCTCCTTTTTTTCCTCTTTCCTTCCTCCTTTTCCCCTTACCTCCCTTCACCCCCCACTACTTTGCCTCCCTCTCTCCTGCATTCACACCCTCCTTCCCTCCGCTATTCCCTCTCTTTCTCCCCCCTTCTCTCTCTCTGCCCCTTTCTCCATCCCAGTTCTCTCCTTCCTCCCTCCCTCCTTCCCTCTCTGATAAGGCCTCTTCCATTGAGATCAAAGAAAGAGTTTTCTAACTTTGGGGATATAAAATAAACAAACCTTGGCAGTCTTTTGGGGAACAAGGCACCCTAGGGAAATGGTCCTCAATCCCATGCAAATAGGAGGATGTTTCTGTTCCCACCACCACCACCAAATCCCTCATTGTGATAGAAGAGCACCCTTGGTGATTTTCATTAGATCTTAGAAATGACTGTGGTAGCAGCGAAGACAGAGTCAGTCAATGTCGTGTCCCCAGCTCTTATTGGCCACCATGCTGGTGTTGCCTGGGGAGACTCATGACAGACCTTTCTTAGGAACACCACTATACACACACACACTCAGCTCCTACTGATTTTGTGTCTTCTTCAGTCTCAAAATTAGTCAAGGCTGTACCTCTTCCCTTCTGTAGGCTGCCTCTCTGGTCACAGCAGAGTTTCTCAGGGGCAGACCCTGTCTTGGCAACCTCAGGGGAATCTGCACGTTCTATCCCTCTTACAGAATCTAGTTGATCCAGTTGTTTCATCATTATCTTTGCAAGCTGCCGCAACATTTTTATAGAATGACTTTCTGGAGGCTGTAGAATTAACCACAGATGGGTATGAGCATGGCTTTTTCAGACTGAAACCATGAAATGAGTGGAGCCAGGTTGGAGGGAGTCAGCCGCTCATTGGTTTTGAGCTGCTCAGCCCCGATATAATTACACAGAAACTGTATTATTTAAATGTTTGGCCCATTAGCTCTAGCTTCTTATAAGCTAACTCTTACATATTAATTTAACCCATTTTTATTAATCTGTGTATCACCACGTGGCAGTGGCTTACCAGTGAAGTTTTAGCATGTGTGACTCTGGCGGGTCCATGGCTTCTCCCTGACTCTGCCCTTCTTTCTCCCAGCATTCAGCCTAGCTTTCCCTCCCTACCTAAGTTCTGCCTTGCTATAGGTCCAAAGCAGTTTCTTTATTCATTAACCAATAAAAGCAACACACTGACAAAAGGACTTCCCACATCAGAGCCAGGTTAGGTTCAGGAACCTTCCCTGCCCTTCAGGCCTCTGAGGTATGCTGCCTTGGGAGTGGTCAATGAGCAATGGTTCTGTTTCAAAGCCAAACTGACACTGTATGTGTGTTGGGGGGGGGTTGTCTCTGCTCTAGGCCGCTCTTTCCCATCCCAAAGAAGTTACTTTTGAATAGAATCTTCCAGAAGACAAGAGAGCACATGGGCATGTGGCACAGCTTTCCTCAAACACCATGCATCTCTGTCTGCATCCCTGGCTTCAACTTTCCCCATACCCATGCCCATGCACACACCCATCTCTGTTTTCCTTTGTTCTTCTTACCCCTTGAAACTCAACAGCTATAGTCAGTAGAGAAAGACTGCTGCAGGAGCCAAGGCTGAAGCATCTCTATGAAAAGATGGACAAGGAAAGCCTTCAGAGAGGCACTGGGGGATGGGAAGGTGGCATAGGATGTGCCCACTTGAGCCCTGCCTCGAGTTGGCTAAGCAAGCTTCCTCCAGAACCCTGGTGGCCTCTACACTGCGCTTATCTCCACAGAGCTTTGGGTAAGCCTTCCCATGCAGTGTGAGAAAGTGGTTTCATGTTGTGTGGGTGGAAGGTGGCAGAGAGGGAGTCCTGCTCAGCCTCGTATTTCTTGCGGTGATGGACATCAAACCCAAGGCCCTGTGTTTGTCCAGCAAGCTCTGCAGTTGAACCTTAGCCCCAAGCTTGTTTATTGGTTTTCCTCTATAAAGCTTCCTGCACTTGGCTCCTGGTGGGGGCAGGGTGGGATTGTGGTATCTGGCAGAGAAGAGAGAGCTAATTGTAAAAGCCACTCACTCGCAGGTGCCTCCGAGGGCATTCCTGCCAGCCTCGTGGCTGCCATAATGAGTTTCTGAGCATTGTGGGCTATTCCTAACAAGGATAACTAAATCATTCATTTCATTACCGACAGGGCTTGGCAGATAATTGTGCAAGAGGCAATTATCATCATGCACATTCCAGGAAGGCATGTGACCAGCTGGTCCTCAACAGCCATGCAAAAGGAAAGAGGAGACAGGACTGAAAGCACCCTGGCCTTATGCCTGGGATGAGCTAGGCTTCCAGGCTGGTGGCTCTAGGCAAGAGAGGGAGGGAGAGAGGGAAAGAAAAAGGGAGGAGAGCAGGAGGGAGGGAAAAGGAACTAGGCAGGGAGGGGGAGGAAAAGAGAATCAGAAAGGAAGTGGTAGAGAGAAAGAAAGAAAGGAAAAACAGAATGAGGGGAAGTCAGGGGACTAAGAATGGAGGGAGAGAAGAAGAAACAAAATTCAGAAGGAGAAAGGGGGAAGAGAATGAAAGAGAGACAGGGAGAAAGAAGAGAGAAGGAGAGAAGGCACTGAGAAAGAAAAGAGCTGAAAGAGGGACAAGAGAGGGAGCTGGATAGAGGGAAGGGGCGGAGAAAAAGCGAGTGAGTGGAACTGGGGGGAGCCAGAGAGAGATGGGTTTGCAGCCGACACAGGGGTCTTCCCGACGTTTCTTTCCTGATTGGTGTAGTCTGCTTAGCTTCACCCCTATCTCCGCCTCCCTGCAGACCCGAGTGCCACAGGTCTGCCATAGTAACTTCCTAAAACATTAATTTTGTCTCCTTAGCCTCCTGACTGAGAAATCCTCCTGACTTGGTTGTATCCTTGATTTCCAGCTTTCAAATGTAACTCTCGCCAGTGCCCAGTTCCCCCCAGTGAGGCAACAAATGGCAGGACAAACAAAGTGCATGTGTGCCACGGAATACTACTCAGCCATGCAAAGGAGTGAAGTACTGATACATGCCACAGCATGGATGATCCTTGAATATTACTGTAAATAAAATAAGCCTGCCATAGGAGGCCACACATTATAGGATTCCCTGCTAGATAAATTGTCTAGAAGAAGAAGGTCTGTTTTTATCTCTCACCAGAGAGACATAAAGTTGGCCAGTGGTCATGCCAAGAAAGGGAAGAGAAGAAGGGAGAAGATGGGCAAGGCTATAAATAGGGATGAGGTTTCTTTGGGGAATGATGTGGACATTCCAGAAGGAGGGTGATGACCACATAACTCTGTGGCTCCACTAACAGCCAATGGGTTATACTCTCATGGGATGGCAATATAAATAAAAATCCTCCCATGATTTATGGTGAAGTGTAAGGTGGGAGTCCCCAAAGGCTGGACTTACAGAGCCAGACACTGTCCATCCAGTGCCTGGCTTATCAGTGTTGTCATAGGAATGAAACAAAACAGATGCCATTGAGATTTAATACCACGCCCCCTCCAGGGTCCTTCTGCATCTCTAACTCTGAGCGGGCCTAAAATCCATACAAAACTGTCTACTTTTACCTTTTCTGCAAATTCAGCATGTTACATATAAGATCGCAATCCATACTTTGGAGGCATGTGTATACATAACAAGCCTGTGAGCTTGTGAGCCTATGAGGGGCATGAAGCACAAAGGATAAACATATGCATAAGTAAAATAATACATGGACAATGTAACAGTCTGGGGAGTCTGATTAACCCAGAATTCTACCCAATAAATAAAAGCAAAATCAGTAAAACTGATGCCTTGAAA